GTTCTACGCCCCCAAACTTTAGCCACTGCGGATGCTCGTCGCGCGCACCCTCAGCTTGGAAACGGAGACCGTCGGTTCCCTTTGTCTCCACCCACGCACCCGTGATATTCAGCTCGCGGAAATACATGTCTGCGCACTGCCCTCCAGCTTGAAGCGCCTCAGCCTCCACGCGAAGCATTACATTGGAACGCCTTCCACGGGGGATGTTAATCAGAACATGCTTTCCTGGTTGCATCAAATCGAACCGCTGGCCAAGAACGTTTTGAAGGTGGGGGTCGCCAGTGGCAGCAACGCCTGCGCTGGCTCCACCCGCCATGGGAGCTCCAGGAGGAAACGTCGGATGTGGCGTCGGCCAGCCCAGAGGATACGTCGGGCTGGGGGTTGGGCTGGACGTCGGGAACGGTGTCGGGAAACCCGTTGGGAAAGGCGTCGGGAAAGCCGTCGGGAAGGGCGTCGGGAACAACGTCGGGAAAAATGTCGGGAAAGGCGTCGGGAAGGGCGTCGGAAACGACGTCGGGTAGGGCGTCGGGTAGGGCGTCGGGTAGGGCGTCGGGAAAGGCGTCGGGTAAGGCGTCGGGTAGGGCGTCGGGAAAGGCGTCGGGAAGGGCGTCGGGAACGACGTCGGGTAAGGCGTCGGGAAAAGTGTCGGGAACGACGTCGGCTTCGGCGTCGGGTAGGGCGTCGGGAAAAGTGTCGGGAACGACGTCGGCTTCGGCGTCGGGTAGGGCGTCGGGTAGGGTGTCGGGTAAGGCGTCGGTTTCGGCGTCGGGTAGGGCGTCGGGCTGGCCGTACTGGTGGTCACCGTAAGGGTCGCGCCAGCATCGACATTCAGACAGTGCCCGCCTCCCCACCCAACGTTGTAATTGAGCACGATGTTACTGCCAGATGTCGCGGGCGCGGGCAATGTCCAGGTGAACGAAAACCACGCTCTGGAATGAGGTGCCACACAATGGGTGTACGATTCCGACCCCACCACAGCACGGATACAGCCTTTCTGGCCCCCCCATCCCTGGTCGTTCCAGTAACCACTAACTGTGATCCTCGTAATTTGCTCAGCAATTATCGCCGAGGTCCACCAACTATTCCAACCGCAAGTGCAACAATGGCTGACTCCTCCAAGGCTGTACGATAAGGAACCGACTGAACGCTGTACAGGCATCCCGCTCACTTCCTGCACGTCATGCACTTCCTTCATACTGTCACTAGTGCGCGAGGCGTTGTACGGGTCGATATCGCGAAGGGCGCCCTTGCTCACCATCATGGAATTCGCGGTCGACACGCCCTGCACGAGGAACGCCAGGTACATGATCCATGGTGCACTCCTGGTCGCCTCCATCCCAACTGCCTGAAGTCCGAGCGAGAGGAAACTATGCAGTTCCAGCCTCAAAAGATTATGTGTATGTACGCAAAGAGCGGCAGTAGGGCGCCGACGTTGAGAGCAAAATGCTACGGGGCACCTTGTTGAATGTTAATTACTAAACAACTATTATGGACCCCTTACAGGCGCCCTGGCGCTCTCGCCGAGGCGCCGGCTGCATTTTCATTGAAAATGAGGCTCACTCTCAAGCGGTTTGAGGGACCGCCAAAACCGGCCCCCAAACAACAACAACGCTCCCGTTCGAGATTTCCTCTTTTTTTTTCCTCAGGGCCGGTGCTCTTGCCGGCCGCCGAAAACAGCCGTCTCAACAAAACCGGCGCTCCCGCTCGAGACTTCCTCCCGTTTTACCTTGGACAGGCGCGCTACTCTTTCTCTCATCGGCGCCGCCCCCCAACAACAACAACGCTTCCGCTCGAGACTTCCTCCCTTTTTTACTCAAGGCGGTGCTCTTGCTCGCCGCCGAAAACAGCCGTCCCGGCAAAACCAGCGCTCCCGCCCGACACTTCCTCCCGGTTAACGCTCGACTGGCGCCCTAATCTCTTTTGAATTGGCGCCGCTCCCAGCAAGAACAAAGCTCCCGCTCGAGGCTTCCCTTTTGATTTTTGTACCTCAAGACGGTGCTCTTGCTCGCCGCCGACAGCCCGCGCTACCGCTCGAGACTTCCCCCCTTCTTTTTCAAGGCGATGTTCTTCCTCGCCGTCGACAACCGCCGTCCCAACAAAACCAGCGCTGCCGCTCGAGACTTCGTTTTGCTTTACGCTGGACTACCGCCCTACTCTCTTCAGCATTTGCGCCGCTCCCAGCAACAACAGCGGCCCTCCTCGAGACTTCCTCTCTTTCTATTCAGGGCCAGGTCCTTGCCTCGTCGCCGACAGCCCCCATGTCCACCAAGGCAATCCTGTCGCTCGATACTTCCTTGTGCTTTGCCCTTGGCTGGGGCTCCACTGGCGGTCTCGCATCGGCGCAGCAAGGCGAAGGCATGCGCTTTCGAGGCGGGATATGTTGAAATTCTTCGGAGGAGGTGTTTGCAAGACCTCATTGGGCGGGAGATCTGGGATAGGAAATAACGGACCCCGCTATAGAAGAATCCCCCATGATAGGGATGGTTATCATGATGGATCCTTCGTGTGGAAACATCGCGCATGAGGGTAACAGGATTGTTGCTGTTGTTGTTGTTGTTGTTGCTGTTGTTGTTGGTTGTTGGTTGTTGTCGTCGTCGTCGTCGTCGTCCCCCCCGCGACCCACCCGCGACTCACCCCGCGACCCACCCCGCGACCCACCCGCGACCCCACCCGCGACCCAACCCGCGACCCAACCAACGACCCACCCGCGACCCACCCCGCGACCCACCGGTTACCCACCCCGCGACCCAGCCGCGACCCAGCCGCGACCCAGCCGCGACCCAGCCGCGACCCACCTGCGAACCACTTGCGACCCACTTGCGACCCACCCGCAACCCACCTCGCGACCCACCCGACCCGCGATGCACCCGCGACCGATCCACATTGGTTTGAAGACAGATATCGGCGCCTGCGGCGGGCTCGTTGTATAATTTGTGAAACTTGGGCGCCTGCGGCTGGCTTCTTCAGGGTCTCGGAGACTGCCGACGTCCCCACCGGCCCCTCACTCTTATCCGAATCTGCGGGGTGCTACGTAAAACGACGTGTGCAACTGGAAACGTCGCGATTCGAAGTCGTCGCCGTTTGGAAGCCCCCAAACCATGTGGCAAGAGATCAAATGGCGATCTGTAATCCCCAAAAATTCACTGCCGGGTTTTGGGACACGGGGTCGCCGCCGGGCCTTGTGACTCCTGGGCCCACCAACATTCGGGACATCTTCCGAAAAACCACACGAGTCCCCAAACCGAGTGGTGATACCAAATCGCCCGAGACTCACCGCCGGGCGTTGTCACCACCGCGTGGATTCTGGGGGCCCGTTTCTAGCCCCATGGGCGGTCCATTTGCCTCCTAGAAAGGGTCCGAGCCGATGGAATCGGAGGATTGCACCGCATCGGCGATGCATCGGTGACATCGGCGATGCATCGGCGACGTCGGCGTGGAAAATCGGGCGCAATGCGATCCTCCGACCCCGTCTACCGTGCCCATCCGGGAGGCCTAGGGTCAAACCGATGGAACAACTGGGCCTGGTCAAGGGTCGATGGCTCCAGGGGCCAGCGCTCGTCTTTTCTAAAGGTAGAAACAGAAATGTCGCTTGTGCACGCAGGCCGCATTGCCTTCGCGCCGGCCGCATGCCATCATTATAAGCTCGCCGCTGCAATCGAGTAGACGCCTGCTTCATAACTCGGAGCCGCAGTCTTATGAAGGGCAACGATGTGAGCACATGCCTTCGAAGGCATCGATGCCTCGGTGTGATCATCCTCTCCCAACAACCCTCCGACGGCAAACCCACCGCGCCTAAGGTGCTTGACGTAGAAATTCAAGTACAAGACGCCGTGCTCAGTGCGACCATGGGCGACTTTGAGTTCTATGCCCCCAAACTTTAACCACTGCGGATGCTCGTCGCGCGCACCCTCAGCTTGGAAACGGAGACCGTCGGTTCCCGTTGTCTCCACCCACGCACCCGTGATATTCAGCTCGCGGAAATACATGTCTGCGCACTGCCCTCCAGCTTGAAGCGCCTCAGCCTCCACGCGAAGCATTACATTGGAATGCCTTCCACGGGGGATGTTAATCAGGACATGCTTTCCTGGTTTCATCAAGTCGAACCGCTGGCCAAGAACGTTTTGAAGGTGGGGGTCGCCAGTGGCAGCAACGCCTGCGCTGGCTCCACCCGCCATGGGAGCTCCAGGAGGAAACGTCGGATGTGGCGTCGGCCAGCCCAGAGGATACGTCGGGCTGGGGGTTGGGCTGGACGTCGGGAACGGTGTCGGGAAACCCGTTGGGAAAGGCGTCGGGAAAGCCGTCGGGAAGGGCGTCGGGAACAACGTCGGGAAAAAGGTCGGGAAAGGCGTCGGGAAGGGCGTCGGAAACGACGTCGGGTAGGGCGTCGGGAAAGGCGTCGGGTAGGGCGTCGGGAAAGGCGTCGGGTAAGGCGTCGGGTAGGGCGTCGGGAAAGGCGTCGGGAAGGGCGTCGGGAACGACGTCGGGTAAGGCGTCGGGTAGGGCGTCGGGTAAAGCGTCGGGTAGGGCGTCGGGAAAAGTGTCGGGAACGACGTCGGCTTCGGCGTCGGGTAGGGCGTCGGGTAAATTGTCGGGTAAGGCGTCGGTTTCGGCGTCGGGTAGGGCGTCGGGCTGGCCGTACTGGTGGCCACCAGAAGGGTCGCGCCAGCATCGACATAAAGACAGTGCCCGCCTCCCCACCCAACGTTGTAATTGAGCACGATGTTACTGCCAGATGTCGCGGGTGCGGGCAATGTCCAGGTGAACGAAAACCACGCTCTGGAATGAGGTGCCACACAATGGGTGTACGATTCCGACCCCACCACAGCACGGATACAACCTTTCTGGCCCCCCCATCCCTGGTCTTTCCAATAACCACTAACTGTGATCCTCGTAATTTGCTCAGCAATTGTCGCCGAGGTCCACCAACTATTCCAACCGCAAGTGCAACAATGGCTGACTCCTCCAAGGCTGTACGATAAGGAACCGACTGAACGCTGTACGGGCATCCCGCTCACTTCCTGCACCTCATGCACTTCCTTCATACTGTCACTAGTGCGCGAGGCGTTGTACGGGTCGATATCGCGAAGGGCGCCCTTGCTCACCATCATGGAATTCGCGGTCGACACGCCCTGCACGAGGAACGCCAGGTACATGATCCATGGTGCACTCCTGGTCGCCTCCATCCCAACTGCCTGAAGTCCGAGCGAGAGGAAACTATGCAGTTCCAGCCTCAAAAGATTATGTGTATGTACGCAAAGAGCGGCAGTAGGGCGCCGACGTTGAGAGCAAAATGCTACGGGGCACCTTGTTGAATGTTAATTACTAAACAACTATTATGGACCCCTTACAGGCGCCATGGCGCTCTCGCCGAGGCGCCGGCTGCATTTTCATTGAAAATGAGGCTCACTCTCAAGCGGTTTGGGGGACCGCCAAAACTGGCCCCCAAACAACAACAACGCTCCCGTTCGAGATTTTTTTCATCAAGGCCGGTGCTCTTGCTCGCCGCCGAAAGCAGTCGTCTCAACAAAACCGGCGCTCCCGCTCGAGACTTCCTCCCGTTTTACCTTGGACAGGCGCGCTACTCTTTCTCTCATCGGCGCCGCCCCCCAGCAACAACAACGCTCCCGCTGGAGACTTCCTCCCTTTTTTACTCAAGGCGGTGCTCTTGCTCGCCGCCGAAAACAGCTGTCCCGGCAAAACCAGCGCTCCCGCCCGAGACTTCCTCCCGGTTTACGCTCGACTGGCGCCCTACTCTCTTTTGAATTGGCGCCGCTCCCAGCAAGAACAAAGCTCCCGCTCGAAGCTTCCCTTTTGTTTGTTGTTCCTCAGGACGGTGCTCTTGCTCGCCGCCGACAGCCCCCGCTACCGCTCGAGACTTCCCCCCTTCTTTTTCAAGGCGGTGTTCTTCCTCGCCGCCGACAACCGCCGTCCCAACAAAACCAGCGCTGCCGCTCGAGACTTCCTTCTGCTTTACGCTGGGCTACCGCCCTACTCTCTTCAGCATTTGCGCCGCTCCCAGCAACAACAGCGGCCCTCCTCGAGACTTACTCTCTTTCTATTCAGGGCCAGGTCCTTGCCTCGCCGCCGACAGTCCCCATCTCCACCAAGGCAATCGTGTCGCTCGATACTTCCTTGTGCTTTGCCCTTGGCTGGGGCTCCACTGGCGGTCTCGCATCGGCGCAGCAAGGCGAAGGCATGCGCTTTCGAGGCGGGAGATGTTGAAATTCTTCGGAGGAGGTGTTTGCAAGACCTCATTGGGCGGGAGATCTGGGAGTGGGAATAACGGACCCCGCTATAGAAGAATCCCCCATGATGGGGATGGTTAACATGATGGTCGCATGCTTCGTGTGGAAACATCGCGAATGAGGGTAACATGATTGTTGTTTTTGTTGTTGTTGTTGTTGCTGCTATTATTGTTCTTGTTGTTTGTTGTTGTTTGTTGTTGTCGTCGTCCCCCCCGCGACCCACCCGCGACCCACCCCGCGATCCACCCCGCGACCCACCCCGCGACCCACCCGCGACCCCACCCGCGACCCACCCCGCGACCCACCCCGCGACCCACCCGCGACCCACCCACGACCCACCCCGCGACCCACCCGCGACCCACCCCGCGGCCCACCCGCGACCCACCTGCCACCCACCCGCGACCCACTTGCGACCCACCCGCGACCCACCTCGCGACCCACCGCGGCCCACCCGCGACCCACCCGCGACCGATCCACATTGGTTTGAAGACAGATATCGGCGCCTGCGGCGGGCTCGTTGTATAATTTGTGAAACTTTGGCGCATGCGGCGGGCTTCTCCAGGGTCGCGTAGACTGCTGACGTCCCCACCGCCCCCTCACTCTTATCCGCATCTGCGGGGTGCTACGTGAAACGATGTGTGCAACCGGAAACGTCGCGATTCCGCCGCCGCCGCCGTCGCCGTCGCCGTCGTCGTGGTCGTCGTGGCCGTCGCCGTCGTCGTCGTCGTCAGCAGCCGCCATCGACGCCGTCGTCGACAGACGATGCTCGCACGCCCGGCCGCTCGCTGCGGCGGGCACCAGCGGACGCCGCTGCAGAAGGCGCCGGAGAGGTTCCTCTGGGCGGCCTCCGGGGGCGGTGCCGGACGCCGGCCGGGCTCTGGCGGTCGGAGGCGAGCTGTGGCGCGCCAGCTGGAGGAGCAGCCTCTCAGGGGCATCGCGCATCGGCGCACGACGCCCGTGCGGATCGTGCGGTGCCCGCGCGGCCAAATGGCTGGGCCTTCAGGCGCCTCACCCCAGACCCTCGACGTCATGATTCTTTCACCGCGTGCGCCCCCAAGTGTCTCGACCCACTTCCCCGGGGCTGGAGTTTCAGCCGAGTCGTTTGTAGGCGGTCCTGGAGCTCGGCGAGGGCCTCCAGATGCAGAAGTTAGCCAAAAACCTCTGGTCGTGATTTCTGTCAACGGTCGTGAAGACCGCGTCCGCCCCGCGAGGGCGCGGATGCGGACGCGCTCGCCGCTTGTGAAGGTGGCCGAACCGCGCGCGCGCGCGGTTGGACGCGCCCAGCTGGCCCAGTCTCTGCAGTTCTCCCTGGTGCAGTACTTCGGCCCGCTCGCCTGCGGGGGGGCTCCGCGCGGCGGCGCCGAGGGCGTGCGGGCGAGCAGCTGAGGAGGAGGAGGAGAACGAGGACGACGAGGAGGAAGAGGAGGAGCAGAAGGAAAAGGGAGATGAAGAATTCGCTGGTAACCAAAGGAGGGACATAACGGAACGGGACGATTGCGATCCTGTGCATTGGTTCCTGACTGGCGGCTCCGCGGCCGCTGAAAGACGGGAGGGGGAGGAGGAGGAGGAGGAGGAGGAGGAGGAGGAGAAGGGGGGAAGGGGGGGGAGGAGGAGGAGGGGAAGGAGGAGGAGGAGGAGGAGGAGGAGGAGGAGGAGGAGGAGGAGGAGGAGGAGGAGGAGGAGAAGGGGGGGAGGGGAAGGAGGGGGATGAGGGGAAGGAGGAGGAGGATGAGGAGGAGGAGGAGGAGGAGGAGGAAGAGGAGGAGGAGGAGGGGAAGGAGGAGGAGGAGGAGGAGGAGAGGAGGCGGAGGAGGAGGAGGAGGAGGCGGCCGAGCAAGGAGGGGGAAGCCCGAGGGCGTGCGCTGGTCTTGCGGGCGCTGGTGTGGCCGACGGCCGGCCTCACCCGGACTGGTCTCGCCGGCGGCTGGCTTCGCCTGGGCTCGCCTCGCCGGCGGCGGGCGTGACCCCAACGGGCGGGTCGGGCGGGCGGGATCCCACCGGGCGGGTCGGGCGGGCGGGGCATGAGAGCGGGCGGGCCTGCCAGTACGCGAAGGGGCTTGACCCTGACGGGTGGATCGGCGAAACCAGCCGCCGGCGACACCCGCGGGGTCATGCCGACTGTCGGCGACACGGGCCGTTATGTACCGGCGAGAGGGAGAAGAGGAACGGGGAGGGCGACGCAAACGAGGGGAAGGATGGCTCAAGGTGTACGAAGGAGGGAGAGGAAGACGAGGGAGGAGAACGACGCGGGAGAGGGGCAGTCGATCTACTGCTCTTCACCAACGTGACGATGGCAATGAGGTGCCAGGGGGGACAAAAGAGTAGCAGGGATGCGGCGGGGGATACAGTAGGGGGAGAGCGTAAGGAGACCGACAGCGAGGATGGGATGGAGGAGGTACGACGAAAACGCGAGGCATAAGGAGGGGAGGAGAGGGTGGTAGGTTGGTAGGGATGAGCAAGAGAGAGCGAGAGAAAGAGAGAGAGAGAGAGACACAGAGAGAGAGAGAGAGATGGAGAGAGATGGAGAGAGAGAGAGAGAGTAGGAGGAAGATAACAACAAACATGCAGTAAATGAGAGAGAGAGAGAGAGAGAGAAAAAACAAAAAAGAGAAAGAGAACAGTTCGGTTGAGGAGGCAGTGCTGAGGCAGAAGAGAAGTCAGATGGAACAATAATTATGAATGGTGGGGGTAAGGAGGGAGATGGGAGAAGAAGCAAAAGGAAGATGGGTGGCTCAGCCCCGCCGTCCTCAGGGACAGTGTAGCAGAACTGCAGGGAGTACGCGGTCTTGCCCACCACGACCGAGCGGTCGATCCACGACATCGACGTGTCAAGGATGGTGATCGCGGATAGACCTCGGAGGAAATCGAGGAAGGAGGTTGGGGAACCATGTTTCTGTTTGCTTTGCCCTGTCCGGGCCTTCAACGTTCTCAGGAAGCCTTTCGGGGGCTGCAAATGACCTGCGGAGACTTGTGCGGCACAGCCGGGCCGAAATCCGCGCTGAACAAAGCTGTTCCCTGTTGTGTGAGTGGGCCCGCCCGAGCCATTTGGCGGAGCCGCATCCAACCGTGGCGACTGGGCAGGCCCCCGCGGGCCCAAAATCTGGGAACAAAGCATTACGTTTAGGTCGGGCATGTCCCCCTACACGCAGGATTCATAGTAAAAACATAATCAAACATACACAACAAATAATCAACAAATCATCCCCAGACTATTTTTCAATATTCCTCTCCTGTAGAGGAAGAGGCCCGACTTAACATTTGTCGGAGCCGCGTCCAACAGTTGCCACTAGGCAGGCCCCCGCGGGCCCAAAGTCTGGGAACAAAGCATTGCGTAAACAAATTTGGTAGGAGGAGGAGGCGGAGGACCAGGAGTTATGTTGCTCCCATCGTACTTAAGGACCAACATCCCAACCATGATTTCGAGCACCTGGAGGAGTGTCGAAAGAGTGTCGAAACAGTGTCAGACGAGTGTCTCCCAGAGCCCGACACGTGAACACCTCAGAGTTTCGGTACTTTTTGTTGGCGCTCGAACTGCTTTCTTGCGTTCAAGGCTAGTGTTGGAACATCATAAACCAAGAGAAAGAGGAGTGTCATGAGTGTCATGATCGCCACAGTCGCAGTGGCACCAAGAGAAAGAGGAGGAGGAGCAGGAGGAGGAGGAGGAGGAGGAGGAGGAGGAGGAGGAGGAGGAGGAGGAGGAGGAGGAGGAAGGTCCGCGCTGAGCTTTTGGATCGTCGCTGGCCGCCCCCCCCCTCCCCCTGGAGCGGCCAGCGCACCGGGGGCGGCGCCAGAGAGGCGCCGCCCAGGGGCTCCAGCGCCCGTCCAAGACATCCGCGCGGACTCTCGACAGCTTATGCTCACAGCCGGGGCGCTGGCCTAAGGAACCCTAACTAAGGAACGAGGCCCCTTTTTGTCCCATAAGTGGAACTTCGACTTCACAGAGGAAA